CTAGCCCATGGGTCCAGGCGAGGCCTGGGCTCCCACCTCCGAGAGAGAAGACGCTTTTCAAAGGTAAACCGTCCCTTCCCAAACCCAAATCCCAGAACCGAGGGCATGAGGCTGCCCCTTTCCCCAAGATTCCTCCGCCCAGGCAATCCCAGTGCTGGGGCCTGGGCCTCAGTCCTATACCCAGGGCAGGCGGCGCTGGCTGTGATGCTGGTTCCCTCCCTGGCCCGGGCTGCTGCAGTGCCGGTGCTGTGCGCTCTGCCCACCGTGCGGACAGACAGAGAAAAGGCGGGTGGTCTGAGCTAATATCTATTTTCTGGCTGATGTCCCCCCCTTCCTCTTTTTCTCCTCCCTCCCTTTCTCCCTTCCTCTCTCCTTCCTCCGCCCCTTCCCATGTCTGCTTCCCTCCCCCAACACTGCGCAAATAGGTCTGTGGCGACTGGAGGGCACCGAGCCTCCCCCAACTAGAACTGCCCATCTTGTGTGCTCCTTCCCCACAACTGGCACCCCTGCCCAGATTCCAGCTGATATTCTTCTCAACCCAGACCCCCAGCACACGTATCTGCTTCCCCATCTCCATCCCAGGCCCAAGCCTCTCCCTTTAGGACTCGTGGTCGACGCCCCTGGATCTCTCTCCTAAAATGGCTCCCCGGACGCTGCACACTGGCCCTGCGGTAGCTCAGGACCCAGGGCAGCGGCGATGACTTCAATCCAGGTCTTTATGTGTCTGGGGGTTCGCAAAAATTCTCGCACCTTCTCTCTGCTGGCAGCACGGGGTGGGGCGCAGGCAGCCCGGCGCCCCCAGTGTGGAGCCTGCTGACCGCCAAAGAGGGAAATGGGGAGGACGAACCACTCAAGTTCAACGACATGGCGACGGCAGCTCCGGCGGGAGCAGCGATTTGGCGGGGGAGGGTGAGCCAACTGCAGTGGCGCGCCGGTGCACAGGGGAAGGGGGCGGCCGGTCCCTTTCAGCTCCTTAGCGCGGACCCTTGCCCCCCGACCCACTCCACAACCCAGAGCGCTTTCATTCCAGTCCCAGCCCGCTTGGCTCTTTGGCCCCAACTCCCTCCTAGTTCCTGCCCCCATTCCCCAAACCCAGGGAAAACCGCAGCCTCCGGACCCGCGCGTCCCGCTCGAGAACCTACCGTGAAGACCCCGGCTCTGTGGCCTTGTCCTTGCCTGCGCGGCCCCACCCGAAACGCAGGGAGCGCACCAGGCCTTCGGGGCGCAGCCAGCAGCTCTGCGAGGAAGAGCTTTCCGCACAGCGACGGGACGCGATGCGGTGATTTTGAGCCACCCAAGATAAGACACTAACTTGACCTTAACTTTGTCAGGGCGCCCCTGGTATCTGGAGAACGTGAACAGACACTGTCTGGCAGCTCTCGTAAAAGCTGACTGGGGAAGGGATTCTGAGTCATTTCATTTATTGCCACTACAGTTCTGCAAGAAAGCTTTTCCTCCCTGCCAAACTTTAATTATTTATGCTCTTTTAAGAAACGAAAGAAGAGAAACGCAGGGAAAACACCCAGAGCCAGTTCCTTCCCTGCAGAGTCTTCGGAATGGACTCCTTAAGTCAAGCGACGGGAGAACAAAAATATGAGGAGATCACCTTTGTCTAAGGACAGTGGGGCAGTCGCCTTGCCCTCCCCCACTATCACTGAGGGGGGAATGCAGCTGGGAGAGGCGGGTAAAGGGGCATCCCCCCCACATGAATATTTACAACGATTCCGGATTTCTCTTCCACCCGCCGGCATCCCGGAAGCCTCCCCAGCCCGCCTCCCTGGGGGAGAACCCCCAGGCCTTAAAAGCGTCCCCCGTCCCCCGCCGCCCTCTGAGTTCGCAACTGATTGAATGACAGACGAAGCTGGTTTTTTTCTCTTTTTAAAACCGTTTTCTTAGTCAAGAGGCCCGCTTGGACTGTAGCATTTCAGAGGACGCATTTGTCTTTCTGAAGGAAATGTTGAGCACTCAGATTTTAGCGTCCTTTCTCTTCAGCATTTTTTTTTTCTTACAAATTTCTTAGTGGTTCCAAATCTCTGCGGGAACCCAGGCTATGGAAGGAGACACCAGAGTCTTTGTATTTGTGTCAAATAGCAAACGGGATAGATTTGGAAAAAACTGCTGAACCAAGAGATACGCTTTTATATTTAGAATAATTTAATTTTCTGTGAGGAGTGATCTCCATGAATATCCCCTCCCCCCACTCATCCCAGGCTAAAGGAAAGAACACGATGATTTAATGATATATTTTGGAAAGAAACGGCCTCCGTGTTGTCTGTCTTAAGGCCTGGATCTGAGTACGTATGCTTTCCTCCTCCTTTCCCCAGCCTTCGAAGAGCTCAGTGCGGCTTCTGCCTTTGTTCAGTTGTTTTTGAGCAGGCAAACCTCTGAATGCAGAGTCAGACTTGGAGATCCTGCTCTGGGTACCATAGCCTCTATGTGTCCAGCCAGGTGGGGAATCCTTTTGAGCCACAGGGCCTTGGCAGCTCTTGCTTCTTTCTCTCCTATTGAATATATATACATATATGTATATATAGTTGTGTGTGTATATACAATTAAAGAACAATTAAAAATTTAATTATAAAGAACAATAAAAAATTTGCTTCTGGGAAGGGGAGTTGAAATGTTGGATATTTAGTATTAGCGATTTAGTAGTTTTGCTAATTCTTCCTGTAGCTAGAAGCTAGTTTATACCTCCACCAGCTAGGAGCTGGTGTTTGCAAGAAGATGAGTAGCAAGCAGGCCCTGACTTTCCTGGACTGAGCTAGAGGTTCAGATGGACTAGGGAGTTTTGAGGCCCCATTTCCCAAGGGAGTCTGCTGGGCTCCTGGTAAACCTGCTGGTATCAAGGATTTAGCAGGACCTAGCCGGTTCCAGAGAAGCCGGACCAAAACTCCGTGGAGACAGACGTTTTGTTTTGAAATTTGAGGAACCTCAAATCTTTACAGACCCTGAATAACAGCAAGCTTTAAAATTTGAGAATTTAGGCTAAGTGCAGAAGTCCCAGCTTGCAACAAGCTGAGAGTCCCCTTAATGTGTGAGACACGCTCACATTTGCCATGGTCCTTCCCTTTTGGATATTCCAAACATATTTGGTTCGAGGCTTTTACACACCGTTTCCTGACCGCCTCGGAAGCCATTTTCTCATTTAACGAACAGTCAACACCCGCGGTGAAACAACAGTCAGAAAAGAAAAACGAATTTGGTGGCCTGAAAAACATTAAGGGGTAATCCAAAACATTTTGAAAAATTGACTTCAGCCCCTTGACAGCTTGGCTCAGACCTGAATATTTATTTTCACTCAAAACATTTGTATATATTGTGTCTGATATATACAAGCTACTGTTTTTGACAAAATCAAAACAAAACATGCATGATAACTATTAGATAGCCTAGAAAATGAAATTAGTCTAAACATCAACTGAAGTCAGTTGGGCTAAGGCTCAGGGCTCTCTGTGAGGTGCCCACTCCAGGTTTAGGGCCAGGTCCTCCACTGAAAAGAAACCACTGGACTTTGGGAAGGCATCCTGAATCCTTGGGTTGTTGTGCATCATGCTAGGAGGTGCGAAGGAGGAGTGCTGTATGTCAGAAGGAGAGGGAAAAGAGGCAGGGATAGTGGAATGAGCTGGCCAGAGGGAGGCTTTGTTCACTGAGATTAAGGTGGGACACTCCAATACACCCAGAACAACTCCACCTGGCATTTGGGAACCCCAGCCTCCTTGAGGCAAGCCTGGCAGGGTCCAGGGCCTTGAAGTCTCCACTGGGACAGGCCATACATGCCTCAGAAGGGGCACAGTAGCTGGGCCTCTGGTAGAGTTGGCAGATGGTGGAGACGGTGAGAGGAACTTCTGGTCCTCTTTGCTTTGTCAAGAGCAGCTAGCTGGGTGGAGAATCTAAGAGATTTCCTTCCCCAACCCTTGACTCTTGAGAAGGATCTTTTGCTTATCCTTTTGGGAGTCCATTAAGGTAATTCAAGAAAGAAAGATGCGCCGACACCTTTACTCACCTCAACTGGAAAGCCATATTTACAGCTGGAGTGTAGCACCCCTCCTCCTCTTGTTCACTCCCTTCTCCTCCCCTTGGATATCTTTCCCTCCTCCCTGTGCAACAGAGCTTCCAAGCAGACCAGCAGCTCCTTTCCCCAGAGGTAGGCTCTGGGTATCCAGTTACAGGGTTCATGGGCCTGGCCTAGGCATGTATGAGAAGGTGGGAGTAGGGCAATATTTGCCAGTCTTGTCTGGAGATGGCACTTTGTCTGGAGCCCCAGTCTCTCTCATCCAATCTCAGGAAATGAAGGTTCCACTCTATTCTACTCAGCTGGAGGGGCCAGCCTATTTCACATTTCTCATTTCGAGATATCTCCAAGTTTACCCCAATACCCAGCCCCTCCTCTTCTCTCCCTTTTCCTCCCAAAGTCCGAAGATCTAGTGTGGCTTTTGTCCTCTCAAATCAGCCAGGACAGACAGGAGGGTGGAGGGTAGATGGTGCCCTTTCCTTTCTCCAGAGTGAAGATACTGGCCTTGCCACAAAGGGCTTCTGCTGCAGAGACCTAATTGTACCCACCGTCCTTTCCATTCCCTCAGGAGGCCTTCCACTCTGAGCCCTAACTAGGCAACTGCTATAGGCTGAAGGGGCTGGAGAGAGGGGGAAAGGTAGAACGAATTGGGTGGAAACAGAAAAATCCAGGTACCAGGGAGCAAGAATGAGCGGTGGGTGAAAATGCCCCAGCCAGGAGCAAGGAGAGGTGGCCTCAGTGCCCCCACGTGGAAGCCTTAAGGCCAGCCAGAGTTGCACTGTACTGCCGCACGTTTCTCACGGGCTTCTCAGGGACTGAGGAAAGCAAGGAGGCCCAGCTGGCCTGGTCTCTAAATCTCTTGGTGGCTTCTGGGACTAGCAGAGAAGGAACCGAAGGAAAAGCCTTAGCCTTGGCCCCAGATTCCCCTCCCCAAACAAGGCCTCTGTCCAAAAGGGCAGACCCAGCCGGGCCCTGGCCACGCGCACGGCTAATAGAGCGCCAGCGCCTGCTCCCTCAGCACCACGCGCTTCTTCTTCATACGCCTGTTCTGGAACCAGATTTTGACCTGCTGATCGCTGAGGTTCAGCCTATTGGACAATTCCTTGCGTTTCTGCCGGTTGATGAATTCGTTGACGAGGAATTCGTTCTCCAACTCCGCAATCTGCTGCTTCGTGTAGGGTTTCCGCTTCTTGCGGGCCCTCCCCGGGGCCGCCCCCCACGGCAGGCCTGCAACACAGCCCCAACCCACGTCAGCCCAGCCCGTTCTCTGTCTACTGCCCGCCCCCAGGCGGTTCACCTCCCCTTACACTCTCCCTGGAACCCCACCTCCCGTCCCGGCCCAAACCGGCCCGGGGAGCATGGGCACCGTTTACCGTCGGGCAGTGAAGGTCGCAGGCAGGAGGCAACGCCCGCCGCCTGCACTGTCATGTTCAAGTTGAGCGAGCCCTTGGTGTCGTCCTTGAAGCCAGGGGCGCAGGGAGCGCCCTGGAGCAGGGTCGCGGAGCCCGGCGTGGCACGACCCACGCCCGCGTAGTCATACTTGGCCGCTTTGAGAGCAGCCACTGCAGGGGCCAGGCTAGACTCGGGGGCGAAGGAAGGCCGGGTACGACAGCGCTCCTCAGGCCCAGAGGCCGCTTCGGGCGCATAGAACTTAGCCTGCTCTTCGGGTCCGTCCTTGGCTGTTGTGGGCTGCAGGCCGAGAGGCCCGGAGCCAGCTAGGTAGGGCTGCGAGAAGCCGCCGAAGGCAGTGGCGCCCGCAGGCTGCGCGGGGGCGCAGGAGGCCGGCGTGGCGGCCCAGGGCAGCGCGCCGCGCGGGTAGGAGATAGGGGGAAGCGCGGGCAACTGGCCGCCATTCGGCCGCAGGTTGGAGAAGTAGAAAGAGTCTGGCGACTGCAAATTCAGAAGCGAGCCCACATAGCCCGCTCTGTAGAGACTGCGCTCACACATCTCCAACAAAGGGCTTCGGCTGCGCTCGCAACAGTATTTAGTTACAACCGGGAATAAGAGGACAGGCTCAGACGATTGGACGAAACTTTGCCTGCAGGTTCTTCAAAGCCGGTCATTTCAGCACCGCCTACATCCCCCCGACCCGTTTTCCCCCCCTTCAGAGTATTATGATAACACCCGCAATGTTCGATGGCGAAAGACGAGGCTGCCAGAAGAGCCAAATCAAGTTGAGCGAAGACTAACTCTCTCAGGGTTTCCAAGCCCGGCTTCGGCAGCTGGGGACATCGGGCAAGAGGGTGCTTCTGCCCAAGTGTCCCTTGGGACTCTTCTTGGCTGTGATTGGCTTTGCGATCCATTTTCCGCAGGCTTTCTGGGCCCGGCTTGCTTCTACCGGCTTTAAGTTCCAGCGGAGGCATTTTCCATTAACCGGCGCCTCTCGACTTGTCCGGAGAGGGCGCGGTCCGGCGGCACCAGGAGCTCTGTCCCTTGGCCTAAGCAATGTCACTCTTACCCCAATCACTCCCACAGTAAGGCTTTCTCCAGAGACCTCTGCCTGGAGATCTGGCAGCAAAGACCCATTCACTGCTTGAGCCCTCAGTCCCAGGCCGCAGACACAAAAAGGGATCACAAACTACCCAAGTTTGGGATCCAGGAAGGAGGCCGCACTACTCCTGGTTTGTGTCCCCATGGCTAAGAACTCTGATCCTAGGGAAGTTGCCATACAGGTCCATGGAGAATGTCCGCCAGGGAACCCATCAGTTTGATCCACCAATCGTGGCCAATGGCTACATTCCTTTTATCGTCAGGAGTCCTCTCCGGGACTACACACTGCAAACCAGAACTCCGTGGTGTCCCCATCCACCAAGTGGAGGGCAAAGCAGGACGAACTCCCCTGACTGGGTGTGGAAAGGCAGAAGAGCCAGAGTCACCTGGCCGGGGAAGAGCGGGCGTTCGGAGGCAGCTGGCTAGCAGAGTTCCTCGCCTCAGCGCCCCCAGGGGTGCCGGGGATAGGGAGTTCACAGGTCTGACAAACATCGAAGTGGGAAGGGCAGCAGTTCTTAGCTGGGAGCGGTGTGCTCAGACCCCGCCACTGGCCCTCTTGCCTAGTCCGGTCAGCGGACTAGGGGTCCTCCCCCTCCTGCCTCCGATCCCAAGACCCTTGGAGACCCCGTGACCGGCGCCAGTCTCAGCCTGCAGCAGGACCCTCGGTCTGCGAGCCAAGCTGGAATTGGTTAGATCGCGGGCTCCCGCACTGAGACCACACAGGCGCCGCCGGAGGGCAAGACTGACCACCGCGCTGCGACTTTATTGTGTGAGTTATGGCGACCAATTGGGTGGCTCTGGGGAACGCAATCGGCCTCTTCCTCCTGCTCTGGTGGGGGGGGGGCGGGGAGAGGGAGTGAGGACGTGGGGGTGGGGACGTCTGAGGCTCCTTTGGCTCTGCCAGAGGGTTTCCTTAGGAGCTCAGGCACACAGACTCACTCTCTCGCGTCCTCTCTTGGGAGGTGGGGGCAAGCACAACCTGCAACCCCAGTTCCTAGACACTTAAGGGAACACAAACCTCAGATCCCTAAGAGCTCTTATTTTGGGGAACCCATCCTATTTTCGAGGAGCTGCAGCTTCGTTACTCCCGAAAGCTCCAGCTCCGGGGTCCTTGCAGTCTCTGCTCCTCACGTTTCAGTGCAAGACGATTCCTCGTTATTTGCAAGCCGAGGGGTGTCTCCTTCGGACCTTTAGGCAACCCTACAACAGCTGTTTGTGCCTCAGGACTAAAGGCATAAAAGAACTAAGTGAAAAACTGGAAAGACAGGAACAACTAGGGTTCCCTCCATTGCTCCTTGCCCAGTCTTCCCACTTCATTCCCCGGGTTTATGACTTTCGAGGTCTGGCAGACAAAGTCTTATGCGAGCTGTGGACCCGGATCGAGGGAGGGTCGGGGTGGAAAGTAGTGGCGGGAGGCGGCTTGGCTGGTGATTTAGAGAATGGGAAAGGATTTGGCTGAGGAGCTAATAGCGAGCTCTGCCAATGCCGCCCAACGCCCAGGAGATGGCGAGCGCGCTCCATGCCTATCGAGGCGCAGCCGCACGGTCAAGATCAACAGTGAAGGGCGGTGCGGCCGCCTTGGGGTCGCCAGCCCGCGCGGTCACAGCGCGCTTTCAAACGCAGCCGAGCGCCTCCGAAAGTCGGAGATCTTGGCGACAAGGCCGCCCCTGACACTGGCTCCCTGACAGCGGAGCCAGAGGGACCCAGGGGGCTGCCAGAGGCGGGGAAGCATTGCAGTTGCCCTTTGTCTGGCCGTGGGTCCCGGCTCCAGTGCTTCCTTCGCCTCTTGAATCACGCGACACGGGGGCCTTGTTCCCCCACCCGCGGCTCTAAAAACCTGCCCAGTTTCTGAGGCACCCTCCTGCCGCCTGTCTCCAACAGAAGGAAAGGCCTCTCTCCAAGCCCTCTTAGCCTCCCGGGCTCCCCGAGGGCCTCCCTCCCGGTGCTTGGGTCACTTTCCAGTTCCTTCCCTCCCTCCGCAATTTGGAATATAAAGGAAACGCATATAAATAACAAAGCCTCCTTCTGTTATTGATTTAGCTCTGAATCCAAATTCCTCCAGAGAGCGTTTGAGTACAGTTTTAATCTTCAGCAAACCTACTATTTCTCCAAGGCTGGGGGAGTGGGGGTACTGACATGCAAACTAGAGATGAAAGGAAAACCTCGAGGCAATCTCCCCTACCCACGATGGGAAACGAGAAATAGACCTGGAAATGGAGTGACGCTCTGGAGGGTGGGACTCACAAAAAATGGAGGGGAAGGTTGGCGATGAGGAGAAAGGAAAAACGTGCCCGTTTCCCATGAAAACATATATTTTGAGAAAAACCACAAAAACGCTAACGACCCTTGCCGAAGTGTAAGGTGGGGGATGGCATGGCCCATTGTACATGGGTTATTTCTTCTGCAGAGATTGAATCGCCATCAAATCTCTCTCTCTGTCTCTCCGTCTCTGTCCCTCCCCCTCAAAAACGAAGTTAGCTGTCCACTGTCGGCAGTAAGATATGAAAGAAATCAAGCTGGGACAGAGAAAACGAAAGTAGCTCCAAGTCTTAGGTCTCTGCGTTTTCTCTCTCAAAGTCATGAGGGAGCCCTCCCACCAGGAGAGTTTTCACACTCACTGAGGTTTTAAATATCAGTATGTAACTAACTTACACACGAAAACGTTAGCAACAACTGAGTTGATTGTGTGGGGAGCTAACCTTGAGGAGTCATCCAGTTCCTCAGCGGCCATTTCCCTGAGCGGCAAAAAGATCTCAAACAGAAAATTCTAGTGCCTAAAAATTGCGTCTGAAAGTTTAGATTTTATAATTATGTTTTCAGTTGTCAACTGCTCTGTGCAGACTGCCCGGAGAAGGTGATATGGGATAAGCTTGAAATGTTTCTTTTTCGATTGCCAAATATGGATATGTCTTTCTAATTTCAAGACCTTCCTAGTCCAGATATTTATAATGGTCTTTCTAGGTTAAAAATTTTCAAGTGAGTAAGTTTTTCTATGCACAGGCATACAAATACATATGGATTAACAAAAAATAGAACTATATAAATAAATTGACAATAGTGAAAGAAAAGTAAAATTTTATTGTTTTTTGAGCTGGCCTGGTAAAAAATATCATTTTAAACACTGTAAATTATATCCTCATTTTTAAACATCACTACTTACGTTAAAGTCATGGGCAAAAGAGAGGGAAGGGGGCAAAAGTGGAGAGCATGAAGGTTCCAGAAACCAGAAGTAATGTTGAGTTTCCTTCATCCACAGAGAACATAACTGTGTTCAAGATATCAAGATTTTGTAATAAATAAGAATCATTTCAAGAGGAAACACAAACTTGAAAAAATAAAACAAATGTATAAGGACTCAGAAGAAACAAGAGAGTTCTGTTTATTGGCATCTCCCTAGGAGTAAAAAGTGATTTTTAAATGCCTGAAGCACTGCCTATGTATCCCAGCTCACAGACATTACATCTACAAAAATAATCTCTCAATTGTATAAATATGCAGCACTTTAAAAGTAATTATTTATCATCACTTTCAGAAACATCATTATTTTTCTTCTTGGACCTTGGAACTTCACATTTTTCATATTTGTTGGACGCTTTACAGCTCCATGAGAGGCCCAATGCATTTATTCAGACAGTCAGGTTCTTCACTGGGTTCTGTATGTAAGTTCCCACCCATGGCCACATTCATTCAGCCTCTTTTTGAGGATTGAGGAGATAGCCACAATCCCAGACCCATAGATTCAAGGCCAAGAGAAGGAGGTGCATTTATGCCATCCGTGGGTCACTCTACTGATTGCAGCCATTTAAATATATGCATTGAGAGCTCAAGAAATGAAGGCATCCACGATCCATGAGGACACATGAGTTTCAAATTAAAATGAAAACACAAACCTACAAAATGTTAAAAAATATACAATTAAAACAGCAAGCAAAACACCCAAAGTTGGAAAGATCGTCTTCATTTCAATATTGATACAAACCCTATTTGATAAGGTGGCCACATCTAAAGCCATCACAGTACCTTCAGCCTCCTGTTTTTAGACTTTCCTGGTGACCCCAGAGCACTGCCTGCCTTTCCACTTGCCTCAGGGCAACTGCTGAGAGCTAATGATTCAATTAACTAATTACAGGATATGAATGACTGAAAACCATTCTGTCCTAATGGATTATGAAGATAATCAGTGCTGGGAACGAACAAATAAAGTAATTGTAAAAAACCTGAAACCTTAAATCAGAATGGCGCTTCTGAAATTCATTTTGGGGGGGATTATTAAAAAATACTTCAAGTCCCTTTATACTGGCCTAGAGGGAGAAACAGAACATTTAAAACATATAAAAAAATCCTAGTCAAAAACAAAACCAATAATAAACAAGTAAAAATCAGAACTACACAGTCAGGCTGGGCAGCAGAAGGTTTTAGAGCCAGATAAGGGGAAGAGAGAAAAACAATTCACAAAA